AATTCGAGCAGTTCCAGGCCATTGGCTTTGTTCCAAGAAATGAAATGCTCAATTCGAGCAGTTCCAGGCCATTGGCCTTGTTCCAAGAAATGAAATGCTCAATTGGAGCAGTTCCAGGCCATTGGCTTTGTTCCAAGAAATGAAATGCTCAATTCGAGCAGTTCCAGGCCATTGGCTTTGTTCCAAGAAATGAAATGCTCAATTCGAGCAGTTCCAGGCCATTGACTTTGTTCCAAGAAATGAAATGCTCAATTCGAGCAGTTCCAGGCCATTGGCTTTGTTCCAAGAAATGAAATGCTCAATTCGAGCAGTTCCAGGCCATTGGCTTTGTTCCAAGAAATGAAATGCTCAATTGGAGCAGTTCCAGGCCATTGGCTTTGTTCCAAGAAATGAAATGCTCAATTCGAGCAGTTCCAGGCCATTGGCTTAGTTCCAAGAAATGAAATGCTCAATTGGAGCAGTTCCAGGCCATTGGCTTAGTTCCAAGAAATGAAATTCTCATTTGGAGCAGTTCCAGGCCATTGGCTTAGTTCCAAGAAATGAAATGCATCCACTACAGAAAACAACAACAAGAAGAAGAAAACACCACGGATGAAACAAAGCCGACCTTCTTTTGTTGTCATTATGGTGATTTGAAGAAATGAAACCGTCATATGGATATGTATGCTGTCATAGAATTAATGGCTGGATTGAACCATAAGCGCATATTATTTTGACTTTTTTTTTGTGTGTGAATTTTGAATGTCGGCATTTTACAAATAAATTTTTTAAGATGTACATGCTCGGAGATCGTTTTTGTGTCTCTGCGTGTATGTGATCGTGTGTGTATATAGTGTGTGTGTGTGTGTGCTTGTGTGTGACAAATAATGGTCGAGTGAAGACTTTACTTTTATGGAGTTGAGTCCTTAACGCACATTTTGTCGAGTTAACTTTTGATTGGAGTGCTTTCAAGAAAATCTACTGCTAATCAATAGAAGGCCATGGTAAAGAAAGCTTCCAACCCCCCCCCCCCTTAACCCCCACCCGTTTTTTTCTCCTTTCCCATGTCTTCAATAAATATAGATAATATATATATATATATATATATATATATATATATATATATATATATATAAAGTGCGTATTTTCATTACTTATTTGGTACCCCGCCTGTCACGTCATCGGAGTGGGAGGCAGAAACTGAAGGAGAAAATGGGGGGAAAAGTGTTGAGACAAGTAGAATTTGCCAAAAATCTAATTACAAGTAGCATAGGTTAGGTACTTTTTCCCCCACTAAGGTTGACCCATGTGGGCGCCTCATTCAAATTATAACTGTTAAAACTGGAGCCCTCCAATCGATTTATAATTTGAAATGTTACCAAGAACATTTATGTAAAGGGTTTATGAAAGGTCACCTTTAGGCGCTAACTTTGACACCACTCAGACTGGGCAACAAGGAGCTCAGATCGATGCGTACACAAGGGCAAAAGGCTGAACGAAAACATCCAATTTATGGATAACATTGTCCTTACCATTGCCTGCGCAAGCATGTATGGCTAACGGTTACCGGAAATTTGTTTGGAAGAAATTTGGTCGACGGAAAATGGAGCGCCTGAAACTTGATCGAACGGAAATGTGGTCGAAATTTTTTTTCAGTTCACACGTTAAAATGTTGCTTTAGATTTCTTTTTGAACGCACTATACTATATATTAAAACAAAATAAATCAATTTTTCTTTCAAAAAAATTTCTGGATACGATGGCTAACGTCGTCGTTGGCAAAGGATTTTCTCAATCAAAAGTACACAATAAATATTTATTAAAAAATTGCATATATTAATATAATACATCCCGATGTCTTATTGACAAGTTTCAGGTAGTGTTCGTTGCTGCATCCATATACTGGCATCTATGTATCGGTTGGGAAAGCGATGTTGATATTCTTACAGCTCCTAGCAGATGCCAGGGCAGCCTTGAAGCTTTAGGTTGATGTTGTTGTTTTTTCTCTTGAGATGCTTATTGTGTAGCATTTGGTTTCATTAAACTTCATGCCCCATTTATCCGCCAAATTCATAAGGCACTTCCAAATCTGCTTGGATGTTGTTGTGGTCATGGTTGCTATTTCTCTCTCTAAAGACAAGACAGTCGTCTGCAAACAGCCTCACTTGACAGTACAGTATCATGTAGGTCGTTTATGTGACAGAGAAAGATAAAGGGGCCACGCATTCCTGAATCTACGGTGGTTTTCCCTGCACGGACGCCGTCCAACACCACTTGCATGTAACGTTGTGTTAGGAATGTTGAGAGCCAGGAGTGAAGGTTGCCGGTAATGCCGTAGTGGTGGAGCTTATGTAGAAGAAGGCTGTGTAAGATAAATGTATATTTATCAGAATGAGCTAGACTGATAAAAACGTCAAAGCAACGAAGGGATTTAAATGCGTTCAGATTCTTAAAAACAATGATAGTGATTTTCTATGATTTTACGGAAATTGTTTAAATTTAAATGCGCAAAAAATTAAATATATCCTCTTTATTTTTAGTGATTATTTAAATAACATTATTATTATAAATTAAAAATTCATTGAAAATAACAATAAAGAAACAATTTTAAGCATTTTATTCGAGTTTGAAAGTTATAAAAAAAATTAATTACAAAATAATATGATTTAAAAAATAGCATTGTTATCACATTTATCGGGAAAACCCTAACAAATTTTATTTTTAGTGCGTTGTTAATATTGCGAAATTAAATTTAAATTAATTTTATCTAAATAGCAAGCAAAGGACGTCGTTGCGCAAATTGCCTATTTTAGCCAAATCTCGAATGGCGGCTCTCCGTTACCGGGTCTATTTTTGACAAAATGCTATTGGGATGTCATTTGTGGTAGTTTATTTTAGTTAAACTTAAGAAGTAAGTTTACAAACATATAGTCCATTCAATTATCTTTCATTTGATACCCCATTTTTGTCTTACAAACCAAACAATTATATTTTGAATAGTTTTTTTTTAATCCCAACCTCTCACTTCTGGTACCCGGGTTCGAATAGCCACTTCGTAATTTAAATTTTATTTTATTTTTTTGCCTTTAAAAATATTCGATTGCGTATAACCATTAGTTTAAAAACGAATGAGGTAGTTTTTCGAAATGTTGACATTTAATATATTGCTGTTCGATTATGTTCAATTTTATTTTGTCACCTCAACAAAGACAAACCTGTTAATGATTTTTTAATGATTAGTACGAACTCTTATTTTGACAACTTGCAAACATTTTGTCTCCTTGCAATAATGACTTGTAAAAGTTGCATTTGATTTTAATGTACCGTAATAATTTTATTTGTGTTTTTATAAAATAATGTCTTGTGCCAACGAAATGAAAAAAGTAAAATAAAAAATATTTGCTCAAGATTATTTTAAAAAAATAATTTTTGTACGTGCCAAGAGGTCGAAGTTTCACTATGGTGTAAAATCAGTACGAATAGTCACCCCTTTGATGTCACCAGGCCCACTTGCCACACCAGGCCCACTTGCCACACCAGGCCCAATTGCCACACCAGGCCCACTTGCCACACCAGACCCACATGCCATGACTGCATTCACCAGGAGTTTTCATTGAGCAAAAAATTGAATTTTTATTATTAAAAAAACAACAACTGAAGTTCTCTTTTATACGTGATCTAATCAGCCATTGTCACGGCAGTGGATAGTGTTGTTGTTATCAGCCATTGTCACGGCAGTGGATAGTGTTGTATTTTTTTTAATGCAAATGGAATTAGAAAGGATATAAATCCACCTTTATTTATTTGTAGCTGATTAGATGTGTAACAGAAATCGACGTCACATGAAACCGTAATTACATTATTGTATAAATAAATCGATTTTAAAAAAATAATTGTTGTAAAATCATTTTTAATTAACACTGGGGAGAAAAGTAACTGTTGACATTTAAAAAAAAAAAAAAGAAGAAGAATCAGGGTAAACGATATTCGATTATTAAATTATTATTATATTAAATTATGTTTTTAGAAATGCGACATCCTGCTCGACACCATCGCTAACAAGGCGACACTTTGTGNAAACAGTAATTACATAATTTAATAAATAAAAAGAATTTAAAAAAAAAATTGTTGTAAAATCATTTTTAATTAACAATGGGGAGAAAAGGAACTTTTGACATTTAAAAAAAAAAAAAAGAAGAAGAATCAGGGTAAACGATATTCGATTATTAAATTATTATTATATTAAATTATGTTTTTAGAAATGCGACATCCTGCTCGACACCATCGCTAACAAGGCGACACTTTGTGTTGGTCAATGAATCCCGTACTTTGGGTTTACATCATTAGAGAGTGGTTGAGCGGGGATTTCATAGAGGCAAGAAGACTTATTCCGATCATTATTTTAAACTTGTCTTCATTATTTGCACACGGGACATAGTGGAGAGGATTATATATTCATTATCATCGGTGGTCCCCTATTCGCCAGGGAGTTACTCTCTAGAGAGAAGTTATCTTTCGTATGTCAGATGTCCAGATTATTATTTCATTCTTTCCCCTCAGGGGATTTAATAATGTTAAGGAAGTTGTTACACTTGGCCCATGCTTAGATAAAATTTATCTTTTGATAGATTAGAATCTGAAGACTGCAATTAAGCTCACCGGAGACTTTATCATTTACGTGTAAATGTATTTTTTTCCCACGCTTTTCTACGTAGATATTTAAAAACTTTTAGAAAGTTACTTCAAGCTGTTTTGAATTTAAAAGTTAATAAAAATAAAACTCAAGAAAAATTACATTCTAAATTCGTAAACAAATTGTTTTAACATTGAAAACATTTGTTTTTATTTTGATGAATGTAAGAGTAGAATCAGGGTGAAAGCATGGAAGCTTACTCGAATTCAAGTAATACCCCAAAAGTAAGCAACATAGACACATTAATAAGTAACGAATTTATCGCTTACTATGGCAGTCTCTTCATTTACTTTTTATATCCGGTACCTCTGCTCTTCGGGATTGTCTCAAACATCTTCAACCTCGCCGTCTTCACCGGGATGGGACTGACCGACAGTGTCACCCTGTCACTCTTCTTTCTGGCCGTTTCGGACTTCTGCTTCATAATAATGAGCACCGTGATCCGGTCTTTTGTTCTGATCCAGCAGTTTCCCCAGATTTCACCCAACACGATTAACCTTAAAGACCTGGTCCTCGCCTGTTTCTGGTACAGCATGGTCTTCTACGACACCTCCATGTTGATCCGAGTCTACACGGCCGTGGCTCGCGCATGCTGCGTGGCCATTCCGTTGACCTTCAAAAACGTGTTCACGAACAAGGCAGCTGTTGTATCAGTGGGTGTAATATTCATCGCCGTCCTCGTAAGCCGTGTTCCGATGTTGGTGTCCCAGGGTTTTTACGGCGTCGTCGACAGAGCAACGAATGTGACGAGGTTTTTGTTTTACACAACTCCCTTGAGGCCAACAGCTCAGGCGATCAACGACATCCTCAATCGCAACATCGTCACGTGGGGCGCGATCTGCCTCGTTCTCGTCTCGCTCTTTGTTCTAAAGTACAAACTGGTCTCCGCGGCTAGGTTCAGATATCAATTAAAATCTGGCCAAGCTGATGTCAAAGGAGTGCCAGAATATTCATCGTGGCAGAAGTCCGACTTGCAAAAATCAAGTGTTATTAAAAGAGCTGTAAGATTTTGGGCTAAGACTCGGAAGCTGAGCACAGATAATGACGTACGCTCCTTCAGTACAAAAATGGATGTCGTCCTCGGCAAAAGAGATCTTCAGGTGGTCAAGGTCGTTCTGATTGTTTCCGTTATCTTCATCGTCTGCACGTTGCCGTCATCCATCACGGCTGTGGCGAAGAGACTGGAGCCTGAGTTTAGTATCGGCTTTCGTTATAAAAATGTGCTCATTCTCCTCACGAACGTATTCGATACGTCTTCGTACATCAACTGTAGCGTCAATGTCTTAGTGTATTATCATTTCAACAGCAAGTTCCGTAATGTCGCCAGGAGACTTCTGGGCAGCGTTGCTAAACATCCATAAATGTACTGACAGTCAGTAAATAAAAAAAAAAATTTTTAATGACTTTGTCCGGAAAAATCAGTAAGAACTTTACTGATGGCCGTAAAAAATAGACATTTATACACAAAAATACTTGAACTCATTACACAATGAGTTCTTTCATCGTTCTTTTATATTTCTTCTTACTTCTCTTTACAATTGTATTATAACGTTATAAAAATATCCTCCAGCCTCACGGTGCAGGTGCATAGAGATGATATTGACACAGAGACACAGGGCTAGAAAAATAGCCGGACAGATATTATTTTTTTCCTCTAAAATCTGTCCCAGATATCCCAGTGAATGTCTGAACAATTAATGGCATTCAAGTGAACTAGTGTTCCTCGTGTATAGAATACAGAGTATTTGGACTTATATAAAGACAAGCCAATAAGAGTGTTTTATTTGGGTCATTGAAGAACAAAATGTTTGAGAGTGAAACAGTCAGGATAGGAAACTGATTATGGATAGGTTTATAGCGCATAAGATGTTTAAGTGAAAGTTGATGAAAATATGATATTATTAAAATATATTGTGAAAGTTAAAAATAAAATAGTCACTGTTTGAGCCGTAACGTCTCGAGTATTAGTTGTAACTTAATATGACAGTGAAAATAATTGTTAGGACAAGTTTCTTCAGAAAATGTGTCCTAACAAAAAATTGGGCTCTAACTAAAACTGATCGTGATTTAGAGTATTTGTTTGTAAAAATTAGTGTGTGTATGTGTGTTTACATCCCTGCATCAATCCTGCATCAATCCTGCATCAATCCTGCATCAATCATGCATCAATCCTGCATCAATCCTGCATCAATCCTGCATCAATTGTGCATCAATCCGGCATCAATCCTGCATCAATCCTGTATCAATCCTGCATCAATCCTGCATCAATCCTGCATCAATCTTGCATCAATCCTACATCAATCCTGCACCAATCCTGCATCAATCCTGCATCAATCCTGCATCAATCCTGCATCAATCCGGCATCAATCCTGCATCAATCATGCATCAATCCTGCATCAATCATGCATCAATTCTGCATCAATCCTGCATCAATCATGCATCAATGATTAAGCATACTTTTCTAAATCTCTAGACTTGTATGTTCGTGTCTTGCACCAATGTTTTGGATATGACCATTAAATAGTATTTTACATCAAGTCCCCATGAAATACAAATTTAGAAGCGTCTTCACCTATAACCACTGATTGTTGTAAGATATGAGCTCCGTTTTGTGTATGATTAAATAGATTTATAATAAATATTTTTTTTAAATCAGAGTTTTTTTGAGATGCGCTATATAGATACGCTCTGTAGATGCGCTCTATGGATGCACTATACTGATGAGCTGTATAGATGCGCTCTAAAGTTGCGCTCTATAGATGCGCAATATAACTTTTTTGTTTTAGATTTTAAAACATATTTAATCCAATGTAACCTAAAATAATCGCGGAGAGCTTTATACAAATCAATCAATAAAACAACTTCTGTCGTGCTTAGTTGTTTGTGTTTGACACCAAGGAAAAAATAGCAGCAGCGATGAACACATGTCAGCTTAACGCAAACAGGGGCATTTTATACAATTGTGTGGGGTAAATTTATAAAAATATGTGTTGTCTATTTCGCCCTCGTCTTGATAGATTGATATCAGCAACTAGTAGTGGTGACCGTGTGGTCGGCTTCTTCGTAGTTGTGTAGGAATGTGTTGGCAGGTAAAAAAAGAAAAGGGGGGGGGGGAGTGGGTTAGGCCACTGGTGGCACTTGTATTCTTTATAAACTAACCCTAGCTGTGCCACGTCCTTGGGGGGGGGGGGATGGTCCACTTCGGTCAACAGCATGTACCATAAAATTATGTAGTTCATATTTATTGTATATTATCTCTGGTTTTCTTGATCGAGTGGCAACAAAAGGGTAGACCGAATCGGGCGTCTTGGACTCTTTCTACACCCACTGCATAGAGTCTGATTCGCCATTTCCTAACCATGCAATGCTAGGAATGATATGCAGCCCTTCACATTGTTTAAGTCCATCAGCACGCGGTCCTATCGTTGTGGGCGATGATCTGGTCTTCCGGATGAATTCCTCGACAGGGTTCGTAGACACAGGCCTCAGTACACTGATTCCTCAATTCAGCTGCTAAAGTGCAGTTGACTGTTATGTAGTATACGGCGATATAGGAACCACGCTATATGTGAATTATAAAAGAAAAGAAGGGAACAACTTTTGTTATATTCTCGAGCTTACAAATCCCTCTTCAACGGCAATGAATTCAGATCGAGGCGTCAGAGGAGATATAAGTTTTACAATGTTAATATCAATGGTGGATAGCCTTATTCGTCTTCACCATGGCCGGCGGAGGCATGGGTGGCTAGCGTCGACAAGTGGCAATGATTCTTTTCATTCATAATTATACAATGACTTTATAATATGCATAATGGATTAATATAATATATCCAGCTAACTATAATGGATAACATTAAGGCTAATAACTATACAGTGGCCACATCACCATCCATACGATGGGTTGAAGTCTTAGATAATCAAAACTCAAAATGGCCGACACGTGCGTGTCCTATGATTCATTCTTGTACAAATGAATTAACTAAATTCATTCTAATCAGAGTTATCATACATACATGAAAACATTAAATGTTTAACAAACTATGTACACGGTAATACAAATATTCAAATAAAGAAATGAAATCGAAATGTTCGTCCAACTTACTAGGGCTTTTTCTGCTGACTTAAGAGTCGATCTCGAAGAGAAGGTTTTAAATTTTTGCAACGTCTTTTATAATGATTGAGTTGAGGTCGTGGCTGAGTTCGTGGTTCAGTCCGCTGGTCAAAATATTTGAGTCCGTGTGAGAAATAATGTTGGAGTGGAAACTGTACTTGTAAGGAGTTTTATTTCCTGGTGCATCTCGTGTTGTGTCAACTTTTGATGGGAACTCAACTTCCGATCAGATGATTCTTTCACGTACAATCGGTGCGGCAGGAAAGTATATTTACTCAAACTGAATAAAATTGGTTGTTAGTTAATCTACAACAGTGATTAAAAAACGCTTTGTTTCGTCATGCCCCGTCACCACTCCATTAATAGATTTGTTTTTTTTTAAAATTAAATTTAGAAAGATAGAAGTTTAATTAATTTCTTGCCTCGATTAGGGGTTCAGATTTAACGCTTTAGATTTTTGCGTGCAATAGATTAAAAAACAACATTTAACAGTTGTTAACTTCGAAAATGTAAATAGATGCATTAGATGTCTCAGAGGCTTACTGTCCACTTGAAATAGCACTTCTGTTGGGCGTACTCCCCTCGTTGGGAGACACTGATCTCCACCCACCATGAACACTTGACACGGGGGGGGGGGGGGTTAAATGGGACTATTATTTTGACAGGGGGGGGGGGGGGTTAAACGGTATATTAATTTGTATATACAATGTCAGTGATTGACAGGGTCATGAAAACTATATTATATCACAATTCTACTACTTACTCTGGTGACCTCGTCAAAGAGTTTCAAAAATGACTAATGAAAGCAAAGGAAATGAAATGTGGACAATCAACCTTTTGTGAACATTTCCCAGCCATGTATTGACTACAATAATCGCTTCCAGTGTCAAAAGGCAGGATGTAAAAAATATATATATAATATCACAAGTTACGGAGTACACATTGTTTTGCTTTACCGTGAGCTGTACGTGTTTTTCTTATAGTGTTTAAATAGTTTTAAAAGTATGATGTTTACTTACATAATTTTTAATAGTGTTAAAGGTCTGATGTTTACTAAAACAAGTTTTAATATTGTTAAAGGTCTGATCTTTACTAAAACAAGTTTTAATAGTGTTAAAGGTATGATGTTTACTAACACCTATTTCCTATTATTTCAATATTTTTGAGGTCGTCGGTCCTGTTGCAGATAGGGATGGGGTTCTACATGTTTTTTGGATAATTTTGACCAGAAGCTGCCAATCCGTAACATAAAGCCAAATGTCACTCAGGCCTAAATTTAGTTTTTCATTTCTCTACGCTTAATCGGAGACACGCAGAAGAGACGTTCGTGGAAATTCAGGTTCAGTTGAACCCGGTCATGTTTCCAAATGCTTTATTTTTAGTTTATTGTAAATTAAATATTGTTTTATTATTGTTTTTAAAACTATTTATTTATTAAAACAGCTTTATAGAAATGATTTTGACAAAAAACTATAATTAGTGCACACAAAATATAACCGAGTGACATTAAGAGACAAGAACCTGTCACGTGACGCCCTGCCCTTGCTTGTTTAACTAATCTTCATTGTTTTATCTACATATATAAAAATTCATGTCTATATGTAGGTATGTATGTCCCGTATGTGCTCCTACACCATTCATGCGATTTCGATAAAACTTTGGTGAGTTGTAGTCCACAAGCCGGCGCATTTTTCTAAGTCGTTATAACCCTTTTAAAATATTACATTTTGAGCCGTAGGCCCTTTATTCGTTTTTGTTCATATATGAGCTTTGTAAATAAAAAAATTCCGTATGCGCTTATACACAATTTATCCGGATGTGATACAATTTGATGAGATATTGCTCGCACGTCCGCAAAGGATTTTGAATTATTACAACCGTTTTAAAATATTCCGTTTTGAGCCAGGGGCCCTAACTTCGTTTTTTCTTATATGAGCTATATAAATATAATTTCAAACTTCAAACCATATGCGCTCCTACACCATTCAAGTGATTTCGATAAAACTGTGGTGATTTGTTGTCCACAAGCCGGCGCATTTTAAATCATTATAACCCTTTTAACATATTCCATTTTGGGCCGTTTGCCCGAAACTGTTTTTTTTCTTCTGATATAAGCTTTGTAAAATAAAATCCCCCATATGCGCTCAAATAACACATATATAAGAATAAGCTATAGTGACATAACGCCAAAGGACCGATAAGATTTAAGAATGTCGGATTCCTAAAAAATCATACTTTTGTTCTATTATT